CCGAAGAACCTCACTTCTTCGGATGCATCCGAAGAAGTGAGGTTTTTACTCACGAAAGCTTATGCCCAAATAAATCTGTTAGTCTTTAAGGTGCCACCAGACGCCTTGTTGTTTTTTCAGTTATGTAACATTAATCTTATCCCTTTTAAAAACAATTGTTCGTAAATGAAATGCAAGGGAGGGTGCATCTGCAAAAAAGTTGACCCATTGAATACACAAAAATCTGCATTCGAACATGCACATAGACAGATGTGACCCGGTTTGTGTGCAAAAAATGACAGTCTGTGCACTCCAATGTATGGGTTTTGCAGCAAGATAGGGGAACATGAATTTTCACAGATACACTCATTGTGCTCTTTGAAAATCTGGCCTCAAAATGACATTAAGATTGTGACAAAACTGATACAAGACAGGAAATTCAGAATTCAGGTTGACAGGTTGCACATAAATTGTGGCTTGGTGAAAAAGGTACGTGCCAATGGCCAGGATTTAGGAAAACAGGCTGCCAGGATTAAGTCTGAGTTTCTTGGCTTCTGTCAATCGTGTCACTTTTAACTTTGATTGCATATACTTTTTTCTGTTTTAAATATAAGTTTTGAAAAGGAACTTTTTCAGAATAAAAAGCCATTTATTTGCTCATGCTACAAACTCAAATATCTTTAACAATATTTATAATTCTCATAATTAATATTACTGATTATTTTAGTTCAGGAGAATCTAGTAGCAAAGTGTAGAACCTCCCTCCCTTCTCTATGTTCAGAAATGGGGTGAGGAGAGAATCTCTCTCTCACTCAGAATGAGTACCGTACATAAAAGACACTTTCTCTGTTATAGTAAGCTTCTTTCTTTGTCAGACATCTACTTTTACTTTATCAGACATCTCCAGTCTTCGGGGCTGATGCTGAAATCTTTACTCATGTAAATAGTTCCACTAGTTTCAGTGGGTTTACACGTGAGTAAGGGCTGCAAGTTTGGGCCCTAAGCTTGGACGAGAAGTATTAAAATGTCATAAACACGCAATTGAATGAATGAAATTAGCAACAGAAGTACATTTGATAAATACATTCATACTCCACTTCAGAGTTGGATGTAGACTGTTCATTTCCTATTCCCCCTCCATTTCCCTCGTACAATAAATACATAAAGGACATCTCCCTTTCTTGGCATAAATATAAGACTTGAATGAAGAAAAAAGCATAACATACCCTGAAAGAAGCTTTTCCTTGAAGAACAGAACTTCTTTCGCTAGTGAAATGATGCAAATGCAAACTGCCTCCTTAGAAAGAGAGAAAAGGAAGTGTGTCAATGTGCTGTCTTTCTACACAGAGTTTAAAGTCCTGTTGCTTAGTAACCACATACTCTGGACTGTACTCAACTATAATCCGTTTTCTTAACTTCTCCAGCCCATGTATGCTTGTGTCTGGAGAGTTAGCTTTCAGTCCCTTCCTCCACCCCCAAAAATTGTTTTCATGTATTTCTTTCTCAAGACTCTACACTGGCTCTACCATCCATACAATACAATTTTATTTGGCTGCTGTCAAATAGCATGTCATGTTTCAAAACACAGGATTACCTAACATAACACCGTTTAAACACGAGACTGACATTAATGGAGAAAGGGCCCAAACCTGTGAGTTGGTGAGTGAATCCCTCAAGATGTGGATAGCACTGAGCTCTTCTTAAACCTTGGTGATCAGTCCCAAAGCAGCAGGACAAGCTCTCCAGAATACAGTTATGGATACATATTTATGGTTCATTATCACTTTATTAAGTCAATTCTGTTTCTTTATATCACTTTCTTAATTCTTCTATTTTTAAAATGTGGTTCCCATTTACAATCTTCTATTATTCATGACATCCTGCCATTTATTGCCACTAATGAGTTACTCATGCCAGTTTTAATAACTTCATTTCCTCTGTTATTTTTTATTCATTTCTTGTCACCTTAGAATATCAGGGTTGGAAGGGACCTCAGGATGGCATCTAGTCCAAACCCCTGCTCAAAGCAGGACCAATCCCCAACTGGTCCTCTCAAGTATTGAGCTCACAACCCTCAGTTTAGCAGGCCAATGCTCAAACCACTGAGCTATCCCTCCCCCCTTTGTAAACTACTACTGCCACTGATTCTTTCTTCTATCACCCATGTGCTGCTTTGCTCTTCTCACACTCTCCCTGACTTGTGTTCTCATCCTCTGGATTTTCAGCTCTGTATTGTTATTACTCTCACTTTTTCTTCTCTCCACCGCTGCTCAATATCATCTCCTCTTCTCTAGGTCCCTCCTGACTATTGGGCTTCCATAAACTTGTAGACCTCCATTATCTCTAAACCCTGCTATGTAATTGTGAAAACAAATGGACTGGAAAATTTCCTAATCTTACAAACAATTAAGGAGCAGGATAGGGAGCACCACCCAATGCTTCTGTCTCAGTCCACCATCACTTCCTCCCTCTGCTTCCCAGAAGGGACAGTGGCTACATGTGAAGCTGAAAGACAAAAAATGTACTGGAAAATGGGAACACTGTTATGGACCCACAGGACTGTAATAGGCACAATGCAGATGATGTGAATAAATAAAAACAATAAATAAAAATGAAGGCTTGGCCAGGATTAAAAAACAAAAAACACCCAGCTCCGTGCAACCTCCATCCTATCTAATTAGAAAACCACACAGCAAAGAAATAGATTAAAGCTGTCCGAGGCAGCAGTAACATATATTTATATATTTTTATTAACAATAGATTGCACAGCTATATATATATATAGCTGTGCAATCTAT